CTCTTCTCTCTCTCTCTCTCTCTCTCTCGTTCTTACCTGCCCTAAGATTTCGTTAATCTGATTCGCAAACTTCAGGTTGATCGCTGCAATATTGTTGGTATAGGCCGAGTTGTTCACAGGGAAATGGTACTCATCTGGTGGCATCACATCTGAAGCCATAGGGAAAAGGGAATTGTGGGGAAGAGAGGAGGGGTGTAAAATCGATTGTATCTCTTTGTTTATTCACAACTGAGCACAAATTCGACACTCAAGGCAGCACATTAACCCATTGGGGACATACATTCTGGTTATTTGACAACGCCTGGAGACGCACTACTTCTATTCCTTCTTCCATGGCCAACCCGAATTGAGATGGATGCAATGGATTGGCCTACAGCGACCAAGCAGACAGGCGGATGTACTAAAACAAATAAGCAAACAAACGAACAAACACACAAACAAACAAACCAACATGCAAACAAAACAAAAAACTTCCCCAATGTGGGAGTCGAACTCGCATCTTCTGTTTGCCTAGAAGAAGAGCCTAACCATAAGTGATACATGTCATTTGACGCTTTAAGCTTTGGCATGGTTAAGTATAAAGTCATATTATGGTCTTTTACAATATAAATAAGTAAGCAAAAAGAACAGAAGCAAAAACCAAAGAACCAAGCATGTACTGCCTCACTTTACTCACTCAGACGCGCTCATAATACGACCATATCCAGCTGTATGCGTCGCAAAACTCTTACCTAACTGAAACTGAAATTCACGCGGCGACGTGCACACTACGTAGGCTGTAGCCTCTTTCATTTCTTCCTTTCTTTTCAAAATGTATTTCTCTCTATCTACCTGTCTGCCTGTCTTTCTTTGTTTTTCTTTAACTGTGTTTATTAACACCCTACCCCCTTGTAAAATAAATCACCAAATACATGTAGTTGTATAATGAGCTTCAACACAAGAAACATACGTGTATATTTTCTATATCATATTATTATTATTTTGTGTCTACTCTTTGATTATTTTGTGCATACTTGCACTTTTTAATATCATACGTTTTGTGTTGAGGCTTTGAAAAGATCCTGTTTGGTGATTTCTCTCATGATACAGCCTCTTGCAGCTTCAATAGCTTAGTTGAATAAAAGATGCAGGGGTTTGTAAGAGTTTTACGGCACTTGCAACACAATTACGTCATATAAGTCACATGCAACACAATTACGTTATAATAAGTTCCGAAGATTAGAGGTGTTACAAGAGTGCCACAAACACAAAGAAGAAAGAGGAGAGATAAGGACTGTAGATGTTTGATAGGAAAGAAGGAGCAAACAACACCAGAGCACCCGCCATCCACCCACAAAAGATTCGCTTTGCTTTTACCCAGAATCCTGAAAGAATTGTCCGTATAGTTGTATGTAGTCCTGGACACCCAGAATCTGGCCGTCCCCTGGACAATCTCCGCTCCAGACCCGTTGACCAAGAAGTCCAGGTCGTTGGTCAGCTGCCAGTACTGACGCATCATCATGCTGACGTCACCGTTGATGTGGATTTCGTACTTGCTGTACGGCTCGGCGGGACATGTCTCAAGACCTGGTGGGAAGAAGTGAGGGGGGAAGAGGGAGGGGAGGAGGGGAGAATTTGAAAGTTGTAAGATCATTTAAGAAGTGGGACTTCCAAATTTAACGTCCACACCC